TAGGCCAAATCCGAGATAGACATAGGCGGCCATTAGTCCTTATTTTCTTTTATATGTATTAGTAGTTTTCCTATTCCTAGTTGGACTAGAATTTGTGTATTTTCCATTTATCTATCTCTTGTAACCCATATATATATATAAGCCTTATGATCAATAATAATATATCCTTTACACATACAATTCTCTCTGATTTACAACAAAGTCTATATTTTGTTTTTTTTGCTGATAACTTTTTATTTGTTGACTTTAATTTCATTAAAAATCCACCTGGACAAGTACACTTACAAAGTTACAATCAACAACCCATTCCCTAATAATACAAAACCGAATATGTAATAAGCCCAAGAAAGCCTATATCCAATAAACTAATTTGTCAACTTCTAAGCTCCATGTGTAACACAACGCTTCCGCATGCAAAACTAACAATTAACGCTTCCGGAACAAGCTGTTGTGCGAAAAAGAGATTTGAATGCCGCAGCTCTGTTGGCAGATCTACGATTTGCACGAGCTACACTTGAGGATGCCTTTCACCAAAATATAGTTTCACAAGTTTGAAGAGTATGTTTAATAAGAACTTGCTCTCTTATTAATCCTTGAGAAAATTCCTCAAAACTCAAGAACACAAAGACAAAACTCCAAAAACTCAAGTCTACGGATACAACAAACGCATCCATATATATAGGAGATAAAACCAAAACCTAACAAACTTGTCCTAATCCTTTAAAACAAAACCAAGAAGGATAAGGATAACTTATTTCCTAAGTTATTTCAAGTTTATCTTCCAACAATCTCCCCTCTAAACTTGAAATCTCCTTTTGCCAAATCCTCGACTCCAATCATCAATCTCATTTCTCTGTAACGTATCTTGCCAAGTCCTTTTGTTAGTATGTCTGCCTTTTGAGCAAATCCTGGTACATGCTGGACCTCGATCAAATCATTGTCAACACACTCCCTAATAAAGTGATACCGACGATGTATATGCTTACTACGTCCATGAAACACTGGATTCTTCATCAGTGCTATTGCACTTTTGTTATCAACCAGAACCGTCACCTTGTCACTCCTTTTACCTATGACTTCAGCAATCACATCTTGTAACCAAATGGCCTGCTTTGCTGCCTCTGTTGCAGCCATAAACTCTGCCTCACAAGATGAAAGTGCAACTGTCTCTTGCTTCTGGGAACACCAGCTTATAGGCGACTCATTTATATAAAACACATATCCAGTTGTGCTTTGACCATCATCCTCATCAACATTATGACTTGCATCACAGAAACCAATTACTTTCAACTCCTTTCCTTGCTTATCACACTTGAACCTTAACCCATATCACAAAGTACCCTGCAAATACCTGAGTATCTGTTTTACTGCAGCCGCATGAGACACCTTTGGTTTCTGCATATATCGGCTCATAATGCCAACAGAAAATGATAAATCAGGTCGCATATGAAGTAGATATCTGAGGCAACCGATGCTTCTTCTGTATTCTTTCTCGTCTATACTTCTTTCTTCATGACACTTTGACACTTTGATGTTTTGTTCCATCGGTACATGAACAGGATTACAGTCATGTAAACCAGCCTCTTCTAGTATTCTGCGAGCATATCTTTCTTGACTTAATGTGATTCCGTCATCACATTGCTTAACCTCTATTCCCAAGTAATATGTCAAGAGCCCTAGATCACTCATTTCAAATTTTGCAGACATATCTTTTTTGAACTTCTTAATCATCTCAAGGCTAGAACCTGTGACTAAAAGGTCGTCAACATAAACTCCTACAAGCAAGAGATGCTCCTTTTCCTTCCGATGATATAACGCCGGCTCCTTAGAACACTTAACAAAACGCAACTCACTCAGAACATTGTTTAGCTTCTCGTTCCAAGCCCTTGGAGCTTGACGTAGACCATAAAGTGCTTTCTTCAATCTATACACTTTGTTCTCTTGACCTTTAACCTTGAAACCTTCTGGTTGTGTTACGTAAACTTCTTCCTTCAAATCCCCATGTAAAAATGCAGTTTTAACGTCCAAATGGTGTACTTGCCAACCTCTTGACGCCGCAAGAGCAAGTAGAAATCAGACTGTTTCAATTCGAGCAACAGGTACGAATACTTCATCAAAATCAATACCATGTCTTTGAATGTAGCCTTTTGCCACTAACCTTGCTTTAAACTTGTTAATACTTCCATCAGAATTTCGTTTTACTTTGAACACCCACTTGAGTCCAATAGCTTTTGAACCAGCTGGCAACTGAACAAGATCCCATGTTTTGTTCCTTTCTATGGACTCAATTTCGTCGTTACACACATCCACCCAAACCTTCTGTTGCTTAGCTTCTTCGTAACTCCATGGTTCATCATTAATACTTAACAACAAGTATTCTGCTTCAAGCTTAGACAAAAGTACATAGTCACTCAAGTATCCTGGTTGTCTTCTTTCTCTTAATGATCGTCTCTGCTCAGGTTCTGTGACATCACCAATGTCTTCGTCATCTTCGCTAATCTCATCACCTTCCTGTACTTGCTCTGTTTCAGATTCAACTTCAGGTATAGTGATGGGTGTTGTGTCTTGTTCATCTGCTTTATTATCAACCCCATGATTACCATACGTTCCTGTGTTTATACGGAACATTCCACTGTCACTCCCTTGGCTGTAAGTCTTCCAATCCCAACTATTTTCTTCATCAAAAACTACATCACGGCTCACCACTATTATCTTGTTTATCGGGTCTAGTAATCTGTAAGCTTTTGAACCTGGTTCTGTTCCGAGATGAACAAGTATTCTTGATCTACTATCAAGTTTCTTAAAATGCTGCTGATCAATCTTTGCGTATGACAAACATCCGAAGATACGTAAGTGCTCAATGTTAGGCTTCCTTCCCTTAAATAACTCATATGGTGTTGTGTTCTTCACTGTTCGACTTGCGGTTCGGTTAATGAGATAGGTTGCATGTCTGATAGTTTCTCCCCACAAGAAGCTTGGTCAATCCATGTGTCTCCGCAAGCTTCTGGTCATGTTGAGAAGTGTTCTATTACGCCTTTCAACAACCCCGTTCTGTTGTGGGGTATAAGGGGCTGTCAGGTGCCTTATTATTCCCTGCGTTTCACAATAAGAATTGAATTCGTTTGAAGTGAATTCACCACCTCTGTCTGTCCTGAGAGTCTTGATCCTAGTTCCTGTTTCTTTCTCTACCACAGCCTTGAATCTTTTGAATTTTTCAAAAGCTTCTCCTTTCTCATTTAGCAGTATACTCCACATGTATCTAGAATGATCATCAATAAGAACAAAGATGTACCGTTTTCCTGAAGACGTTGGTGGAGTAATAGGCCCACATAAGTCACCATGGATGAGCTCGAGTCTTGTGTTAGCTCGGTATGTGGTGGACTGAGGGAATGAGTGTCGAGTTTGCTTTCCAAGCAAGCAAGACGAGCATATAGTCTTATCACCATCTATTTTAGGTAAGCCATGTACGAGCTCTTTATTTGCCATCAATCTCATTGCTTCCTTTCCTATGTGACCCATTCGTGCATGCCACTTCAGAGACTCATCTTTTATTGACGCCTGGAAACAAGAGTAAGCTTCGTTTCTCTCCATGTTAACCTTGTATAGTCGATTTTTTGACCTTACTGCTCTTGCCATCAACTTCCCTTCCTTATCTGTTAGTATGAGGTGTGAATCCTTCATTCTTACTTCACAGCCACCTTCCATAGCTTGACCTAGACTTATGATATTGCTCTTCAAACCAGGGATGTAATAGACATCTGCTAGAATCTTCATGCTACCATCTCTTGTAACAAAAAGTATTGGGCCCTTTCCTTTGATATCTATTCTTGAGTCGTCCCCGAACCTCACTTTACCAGTGACCTTTTCATCAATGTACTTAAAGTATCTTCTATCACCAGTCATATGGTTACTTGCCCCATTATCCAAGTACCAAACTTTATCATCATCTGCATTTGACTCAAAGCTCTATGGATTAACCTTCTTCTCATTAAGGTAGACTATCTCGTGAACCATCAACTCCTCAGCTTCTGTTGTGTCGATGTCTTTATTTTGATTCTCAGTTGTTTCTTGCAGCTTCAAGAGACGATCTGGACATACGGAGGCAAAGTGTCCCATCTTGTCACACCTGAAGCACATTATCTTTGACATGTCAAAGTTGTCCTGGTAACGATCTTGATATCTTCCTCTGCCTCTGCCTCGATTGTATGCTCTGTTTCCTCTGCCTCTTCCCCGGAAGTTGTTGCTATTCTCACGAAAGTTGCTGTTTTCACGGTTGTTTGTTGAGCTTTGTTGAGTCTGAGATGAATTGTCATTGTTTACAAACATGAGTTTACTCTGTGTCTCTTCTTCTTCATCCTTCACCCTCTCTTCATATGCTTTGAGTCTTCCCACAATCTGCTCAAATTTTGCAGTTTTAAGATCAATAAATTGTTCAATTGTTGCAACAATTTGAATGTACTTCTTTCTTGGAAGACAAGTCAGAAGTTTCTTTATAAGCTTGTTTTCTTCAACCGTGACTATCTAATCAGAGATGTTTTGCTTCGCCCGAAATTTAAAACAAAGGAATTATTTTCTGGAATGAAGATAGACTACTTGTCAAATCGTTATGGACGCCAAAGCCTCTTAATCTCCTCCATAAATGGCTACAGAGACCCATCAAACCCCAGCAACTCCCAATTGTAGACACTTTCTTCAAAGGAAAACAGGCTAAACTAACAAACAAAGACTGGTTCTAATAGGAAGTGATTAAGGTGAGTGGTGAACCAAGATGTCAGTTTAGTCACCATCGGGATTTAGAATAAAACTAAGTGGGAAGAACTTAACATACTGTTAGTTCAGTGACAATCCGGATTTAGAATAAAACTGAATGGGATCAATCAATGTTAATGGGCTAAGAAGGAATCCCTTAAGGTTGGAAGAAGAAGGTGAGTGAAGATGTTTCTTCGTTTGGGGAAATTAGTCGATGATTATTCCAATCGAATCCAACTTTGCTCTTTACATCATGGTCGAAGATCTGGTCGAATTAGTTTCTCTGAAACTCTGAATCTTGTTCTTTGTCTGTCGAGCAGTCTGAAGATCTGTTCAACTGACCAGAAAGTGTTAGCATGCAAGTGACCGTTTCGTTCACTCCAAAGCCAATACAAGGATGATTGCCAAGCTAGGAAAGTTAGGTTTCTCTGCGGTTCTGGAAGGGCAAGGGAGATCTTCTGGTCCAAAGTATCTTGCCAGTCTCTTCGAGGTATAAGTTGTAACCTTCTAGCCAGTAATCTCCACAAATCGTAGCTATAATTGCAAGAGAAAAATAGATGAACCGGTCTTGTTAGAAACAATAAATTTGGAAATGCAAGAAACAACAAAAGAAAAAATTTCACAGCCGTTTAAAAATCTTGCAAACATGGCTTTACAACAAAGCAATTTTTAGAGTTAAAAGTTAACAGTGGGCAGTTAAATACAGTAAAAGCTTTAGAGAAAAAATAGGAAAACATTATGATTGGCATTAAAATAACTTTAAGGACTTTAAGATGTTGTAAAGTCTCCACAGCCAACATACCAATCAGAGCCATAATCTCCATCGAAGATTACTTAGAAAACTTGAATAACTGCTTCAAGTGAAACGGCTAAACCGAAAGAACATGGATCAAACGATTGAAGGTGTTTTACAAACCAAAAAAAAAAAAAAAAAAATTTGGTTTTCATCTCTTCCTCTTGAAAGATAGATCTGAGAGAACGGAGAAAAGAGAGAACCAAAATAAGTTTGCTGATAAAAACCTTTAAAAATAGAAACTAACATGTGAGAAAAAAACTAATAAGTGAAAAAAATATAAAAATAAACACAAAGAAAATTAGAGAGAGAAAGGAGGTGATTTCCATTTAATCAGAGTTTCTTCTCCAAGATTATAAACATATAGTTTCATCTCTAGTAATATAAATATATGTTCTTTGGTAAAATATTCCGATTTTTCACTTCCTTCTTAGACCATGATTAACCCATAGTTCTTATGGTGGAGTTATTAGCGGAAGTTAAGAAACTGTTTCTTAATTTTTAACTAAAAAAACTAAGAACTAGTTTTTAAAATCTTTATTTAAGAACCGGTTCTTAGCTTTCTTAGTTAAAAGTTAAGAACCAGTTTCTTAATTTCCGCAAAGAACCCCACCTTAAAAACTCCGGGTTAATCATGCTCTTACTTGATCGGATCTTTTGTTTTTGTTTTTGACTGAAATAAACCTTTTTGTTTTCAAGTCAGAAAAAAAATTTCGGTCTTGGAGTAGCTCTCTGTGATTTCATGAACCCCAACCAATCCCTTTCTATTCAACATCACTTAAGCTTGTTTGGGTAATTTCATGCCTGCTTGAATCCACCAATCTTTACTAAGTTACTAGGGTTGGAAGATCTTCGGTCTGAGAAAATACCAAAGATGTGGGTACGCTATTTAAAGATGGTTGATAAATATTGAAGATGAAAAACAAAGGAAAAAATGAAGAAGTACTTCTTAAGTTGGTACCAGTATTTGGAGTGTGTTTACTCTCATCGACGAGGCACAAAATTTATGGTATGACAAAAAAGAAAGAGTCTAAGACGTTTGCAGAAGTTTCGCGGTGGAGAAGCTCACAAAGACCTAGTATGCAGATTCAAGAATGAAGGACACATGAGCTTTCGCATCTCGTGGTGCTCTTCTATCTGATTCGTGGTGCTTAGGAATATCTTCTTGTTAAAGCTGGATTATATTATTAAGTTTTTTGACAAAAATTTCTAAACAATGAAAACTAACAAGACATATATAGAAAATAGATATATCAGTATGAATCCAAAATAAACTAACAAATCTATTTTGCATATGGATGACTAAAGATTTTTCATATAAAAGTTTCATATTTACTTCTGGTATAGTTGAATCTCAATGGGATAATCCTCATAATAGTCCAGAAACACCATGTTTCAGACTGAGTTGAGAACGATTGTTATTCTTTTTTTACTACCTCAATAAGAGTTATCGAGAGAACACAACTCTTTATTTTGCTCTATTGATAATAACAGAGTCAAAGAGATTACTAATCTATAGAATTCCATGCCACCTTTCGAAGTAATTCTAGTTTACAGCAAGAATTCCATATCAAATGGAGAATCATCAAAGAATGAATCAGGTAAGACATGTTGCCACCATCCGAAGTAGATCTGCCAATTATCTTTTTTAAACGGTTCAATTGAACCGAATTTTTTTTGTCTTTCCAAATCTATCGAAAGAAACATAAAAAAAACAATAAAACTTTGTCAAATTCAAAATAGATTAGCAATCAAACAAACCAAGTAATTAGAAGCAAAGCAAATTAAGAAAAAAAAAAAGAAAAACAAAATAAACAAGCCGATGGCAGAACTGTAGAAGCCCTTGGCAATTGGCTCAAAACTATTAAAAACAATATAGACTTGACGAGTTATTTTTTTGTAAGAAATATTGTATAGCATCAGATGTTTCATGAAGTATGACCACATTCTATATATTCCCAAATTTAAAGTTCAAAATTTAATTCCCCACAAAATAAAAATTCAAAACTCTCATCCTCAAAATTAAAGTTCAAAACTCTAAAACTCATAGACCTTAATTACATTGGTTTAAAGGTGGTTTAATGTTTGTAATCAAACCACAAACCCTATAAATCAGATGTAAAACCAATTAATACACGTTAAAAATAGCTCGTTGACACTCCAAAGGTTATTAATTTGATTTTAACTCTGATTTATAAAGTTTATAGTTCAATTATTAAACATTAAATCATCTTTAAACCAAAGTATAAAGGTATACGAGTTTTAAGTTTCGAACTTTAATTTGGGGGGTTTAGAGTCTTGAACTTTCAATATATTGGGATACGGATGTGACAATCGCTTTTCCAAAATAAAATAACAAAATGATCATATCTAAAATCTCTATTTATAAATATTTAAACGTCAACATCCATGAACATCTGAAATATAGGAAACATCATAAAGCCGAAAGTCTGAAATAGGAGATAAAACATAAATCCAAAAGCCTGAAATACGAAAGATACTGAAAAGCAAAAGTCCAAAAACCCAAAAGTCTAAAAGCCCAATAGCATCGGTCCGATATAATCACTTTCAGTCATCCATCTCACCTGAAATAGGAAATAAGGAGGGGGTGAACAACATGGGAGTCACTCAGTAAGGTTACGGAATGCTAAACCGCAAACCACTGACTCAGTACATAGCACTACGACAATGTAGGCCTAACTCTAGCATGTAACAAACATGGTGCCTAGTACACCTCACAAAACAACCACATGCCTAATGCGCCATATAACAACAATCAAAGCGATGATAGTACATATCTATTCTATGCACCCCACATTCTCCTCATACGAATATACATATATAACTATACAGGTGTTGCTAGTACGGTAGTCTCTGTACGCCCACAATCTCGAGGCCTCACTAGTACAAACGTCTTTGTACCCCGCATATCTCCACACAAGGCGGCGCTAGCACAGACGTCTATGTGCCCTCGCAATCTTCACAAACAAGGCGTCGCTAGTACAAACGTCTATGTACACCCGCAATCTCCACACATGGACTTGTATATATACATATATATATATATATATATATAACAATTCGTAACATCAATCATGTCACACAACCTTTGAATCCACTATTATCCTATTTCCAGTTTAACAATCAATAATAATAAAGAAACAAACAAGACTCTCAAATAGACTCGATTCACACAGACACATGTTTTGAAACTAGACTTTTCATAATAGTAGTACTAAACTATTTTGGGATTTAAACGGAGTCGTCCTCACCTTGGCAATGAGAATAAGTGATTTCTATGAACTTCAGCTGCTCAAACAAACTCAAATCTGAAATCAGGACGAAAATTCGAGTCAAAAGGCCCTTCGAACAGTTAAAAACGGGTAAATGCCGACCAAGTTAAAGATAGCATAAAAGTCAACGGCCTGGTCAAAGTCAACTTGGTGTCGATTTAACTTAACCAACCGGTTTACCCTCACTGAACTAAAATCGACTTAGACTGAGTCAACCCACCGGTTGCCCGAGTTGACTCGGTTGAGTTGACCGAGTCACCGGCGAGTCACTGGCCACGACGACTTACCGGAAAAATTGATGGCAGCGGCGGCAGAGGCGACTGCCGGTGACGGCGCATGAAATGGGCTCGTTCGGACTTCGATTGAGATGTGGTTAGCAGTTACGGCTTTGTCTTGACGAAAGGAACACGATGGTAGCCTTTCATGCGTGAAATTCTCAACAGTTAGAAAGTTATGGTCGATTTATTACACGACTCGAAACTAACTTAAACACAAGGTGGTTTATGAATAGATCTTTTCTGCTACTTCTATTTGTTGTTCTCGTACTTATCCATGTCCTTCGTCACTTTCATTGTTGTATCATTATATTCTTTTTCATGGCATTCAATTCAAGTGGGTCTATCGATACAAGTGCTCCGATAATTCAGCATGCAAGACTGGCGGTTACCTTGCATTACAAACGGTGGTGGCAAACTCGACGCGTTCTCTCGGTGTGGTGGCTCCGGAGACAACTTCAGATGGCCCAACATCTAGAAAAGTTCCCCATCACTCTCTCTTCAACTTAACTTCTCTTTTTTTTTCTTGTAGGTTTGGTAAAAAAAAAAAATTGGGAATATGGGATTTATAAGAAAAATGCTTTGGGTTTCTCCGATTTGGCCTCGACGAGCTGTGATGATTAGACTTTGACGAGCTGGGAGGATTGGGCCTTAACGGACTGGGCTGCTTGGGCCAGAAGTTAGATTATGACAATGAAATATGATAAAAGTTTTTGGAAGACAGCCGATGCTATACAATAGTTTTCATGGAAAAATAGTTCGTCAACCATATAATAAAGAGATATTTGGATAAATATTGCCAAGTAATGATTTTCCAAGAGAGAGGTGTATACGTCCATCCCACAACTCAGAACCATGGCCCTATTTGTTGTTAGAGAAGAAAAACTCAGTCATACATTATATCTTCCCTATATCAAGGGTGGAGATATGGGCGACTGATAAAATTAATAATGATAAACAGCATTGTTATGGGGCAGAAGAAAATGGCGTCGATATCATCAGAAAAAAAAAAAAAAAAAAAAAAAA